AAAAAAAAAAAAAAAATCAAGTAATTAAAAAGTTGTGGGCAAGGTTCACGTAAGTAGAAATTATGAAAAAAAAGAAAAAAGGGAAAAAAAAAAAACGTTGTGGGACCAGAGGCGGGAATTCTTGTTTCTGAGCTTCAGTGATTCCTTGAAACGGGTCACACAGAATTAGGCAAAATTGTGCATCTCAAAATAAGGGATGTTCCTCATTGTATAGAAGAAGAAACAGAAGCTCAGAGAAGACCTCTGACAGGAAGCAAGTTCTGAAGGAGGTGCTGGACACTAAAGGGCGGGACCCCCAAGTTGGGAGAGAAAGAGTCATCCTCAGAGCTCACCTACAGTGTGCCCCTGTGGGGACCCCTCCGTTAAAGCTGGGTGAGGGGCCCTACTCTCCTGGGTGACAGATGGGGCCCCATGCCTGGACAAGGCCACACACCCAGGAGGAACCCCAGACAAGGGAACCCCAGACAAGGGCCTGCTACACTTGGTGCCTTGGTTTCCCCTTCTGAAGCCTGAGGGATGCTGTGGCCTCCCTGAACTCAGACGCACAGGAAATCTAGCCGGGGCGGCTGACACACGTGCCCTAGATTCTTGGAAGGCTCAGGAAGTCGGAAGCTCCAGGCCTAGGGTGAGGTGCCAGGCTTGGGTGGAACCCCTGGCATACAGCCCTCCGCCCCCAGGGACTGAGGGATGGCAGAGCCCCCCCCTGCGGGCCCCTCCTTACTATCAAAGTAGCTGGTATCATCCTCGGCTTCGAGCTGGGGCACGAACTCGGCTTTGTGTCGAAGAAGCCCTGCCCAGTCCAGGCCCAGGAAAAACGGGTGCTGCTTCACCTCGTGGGTGCCACCTGCAGATATGCCCGGCTGAGCCCCGTGGGTCCTCATCTCACCCACCACACGATGCCCTCCACCCCCATCCCCACCCCCCACTGCTCATGCTGGACACAGGGTGGGGACAACACAGAACCAGAAAAATGGGCCGGGCGCGGTGGCTCACGCCTGTAATCCCAGCACTTCGGGAGGCTGAGGCGGACAGATCACTTGAGGTCAGGAGTTCGAGACCAGCCTGACCAACATGATGAAACCCCGTCTCTACTACTAAAAATATAAAATATAAAATACAAAAATTAGCCGGGTATGGTGGTGCATGCCTGTCATCCCAGCTACTAGGGATGCTGAGGCGGGAGAATCACCTGAATCTGGGAGGCGGAGATTGCAGTGAGCCAAGATTGCAGCACTGCACTCCAGTCTGGGCAACAGAACAAGATTTTGTCTCAAAAACAAAACATCAACAACAAAATAGGAAAATGGGAACAAAATCCACTGAAATTTAGGAGCCTGGAGAGAGACCAAGCTGGGATTCAAACCCATGCCAGCACTTTGGGAGGTTGAGGTGGGCGGATTACTTGAGGTCGGGAGTTCAAGACCAGCCTGGGCAACATGGCGAATTCCTGTCTCTGGATGACAGACAGGGCCGGATACCCAGGAGGCCAACCAAAAATACAAAAATTAGCCAGGCATGATGGCACATGCCTGCGGGTCCTACTCGGGAGGCTGAGGTGGGAGGATCGCTTGAGCCTGGGAAGCGGAGGCTGCAGTGGGCCAAGTTGTGCCACTGCACTCCAACCTGGGTGACAGTGTGAGATCTAATCTCAGAAAAAAATAAAAAATAAAAAAGCACTAAGGCTGCCCAGGTTCGGAAGATTCTGGCCTTCTCTCTGCTGCCGTCTGGGACGGCACCGCCTAGAGAAAGCCCAGATTATAAGGTCCTCCTTCCTGGCTTGTAAACAGCTCCAAGGAGAAGGTGACGATCCCTGACCTTGGACCCAACCATTCCCAGAGCGAAGCCTCAGTCATGAACAGGAGCCGTAGTGGCCATGTGATGGGTGGCTGCATGAGTCTCAAAAAGTCCCTTAATGATTCACCAGGTGGCTGGGAAAACTGGGACAGTAGGATCTTCCAGGCTGGGCCTTTGACACAGGTCCTGGTGACTTCACAGCCTCATATACTTATTCAGGCTCAGTGCTCGGTGTGGGCACCAGACCCAGCTACTTTCTATTCTCTCAAGGTCTTGTGATGGTTCCTGGAGAACTCCTATGCATCCTTCAAAACCCCAGCTGCAAGCCCCCCTCCTCCATGCAGCTTCCCAGGTAGAACTCTTGTATACCCCAGGTACTATCCCTCCTTCTGTTTCCTGGGTCCCAGGGCCTGAGGGAGCCACCCACCTGGGTCCCCTTCCATACTACATACCAGTGCCCAGACGGTCCAGTGGGCTCTGCCGGAGCAACCTGGTGATGAGGTCCTGGGCGTCAGCTGGAAGGGCCTCGTCCCCATCTGGCCACATGATCTCATCTAAAATGAGGGAGGAAGGAGGAGGCAGGGGTACCCCTTTCTAGTACCATCCACTACTTCCCCTCACTTCACTGTATTCCTAGCCAGTGACCTCCTCTGCCGCTTCAACATGCCAGGCTCGGGACCCGCACCCAGGCTTCGCCACGGCTGTGCTCTGTGCTCACAGCATCTTTCGCTTTTCTGTCTCTACGGCTCCCTCTCATTCTGAGGTTCTTGCAGGTCTCTGCCCACATGTCACTTCTTTTATTTTTTGAGACAGTCTTGCTCTGTCACCCAGGCTGGAGTGCAGTGGCGGGATCTCAGTTCACTGCAACCTCCACCTCCCGGGTTCAAGCAATTCTCCTGCCGCAGCCTCCCAAGTAGCTGGGATTACAGGTGCACATCACCATGCCCGGCTAATTTTTGTATTTTTATGTATTTATTTTTTGTGACAGAGTCTTGCTCTGTCACCCATGCTGGAGTGCAGTGACGCTATCTCGGTTGACTGCAACCTCCGCCTCCCGGGTTCAAGAGATCCATCCTTCTGCCTCAGCCTCCCAAGCAGTTGGGACTACAGGTGTGTGCCACCACACCCAACTAAATTAGTTTTTGAAATTTTTAGTAAAGACGGGATTCACTATGTTGGCCAGGATGGTCTCAATCTCTTGACCTAGTGATCTGCCCGCCCCGGCCTCCCAAAGTGCTGGGATTACAGGCGTGAGCTACCGCCCCAGGCTAATTTTTGTATTTTTAGTCGAGATCGGGTTTCGCCATGTTGTCCAGGCTGGTCTCGATCTCCTGGCGTTATACGATCTTCCTGCCTCGGCCTCCCAAAGTGCTGGAATTACAGGTGTGAGCCACCATGCCCAGCCTCATGTCACTTCAGCGAAGCCTCTGTGACCCTATAATTAATCCAGCGACCCACCCCCTCAGCACCCCACCGCCTCCCCACTGGACAGCCAGCTCCCTCCCCTCGTCCTGCTTCTCCCCCCGACATCCGGGTGGGGGATCGCTGCCCAGAGCTCGGTGGGGCTGCAGCTCAACCCAGGCCCGTGGAGGGAACGCACCGCTGACCACCTGACCGAAGAGTTCCTCGGGGGTGTCTCCGAAGAAAGGCACGCAGCCCACCAGAAACTCATAGAGAACGACGCCCATGGCCCACCAGTCCACTGGCTTCCCGTAGCCCTGGCGGAAAATCACCTCGGGCGCGATGTACTCCGGCGTCCCGCACACCTGGACCCAGGCAGAACGGGGAAACTGAGGCCCGTCCCCAGCCCAAGAGAGGCCCGGGAGAGAGGAGGTGGCATCCCAGGGCCACCTGCCCACCTGGCCGCCCACCTGCTTGTCGATGAACTCCCGGGCGTCCTTCTCGATGTGGCCTTCGTAGAGGTTGGTGGCCATGCTCATCAGGCCGATTTTGGACAGGCCGAAGTCCGTGAGCTTGATGTGGCCGAGTGAGGTGATGAGCAGGCTGTGGGCAGGCGAGGGGGTGCTCAGGGCTGGGGGGCCAGGGTGCCTGGCTGCTCCTTCTGCCCCAGACCTTGGCTCCACCTGACACGGGCAGAGCTCTGCCTCCAACTCCTGGGTCCAAGGGATCCTCCTGCCTCAGCCTCCCCAGTAGCTGGGACTTGGGACTATGGGGCACACTACCAAACCCAGCTAAGGTTTTTTTTTTGTTTTTTTGTTTTTTTGAGACAGAGGCTCACTCTGTCACCAGGCTGGAGTGCAGTGGCGCAATCTCAGCTCATTGCAACCTCTGCCTCCCAGGTTCAAGCAATTCTCCTGCCTCAGCCTCCCGAGCAGCTGGGACTACAGGCGCACATCACCATGCCTGGCTAATTTTCTGTATTTTTAGTAGAGATGGGGTTTCGCCATAGTGGCCAGGCTGGTCTTGAACTCCTGACCTCATGATACACCCATCTCAGCCTCCCAAAGTGTTGGGATTACAGGCGTGAGCCACCGCACTGGGCTTTTTTTTTTTTTCGTAGATATGAGGTCTTGCTATGTTGCTCAGGCTGGTCTTGAATTCCTGACCTCAAGCAATCCTCCCACCTTCAAAAGTGCTGGCGTGACAAATGTAAGCCAGCATGCCTGGTCTCGTGTGTGTGTGTGTGTGTGTGTGTGTGTGTGTGTGTTTCTGGCTCACTGTAGCCTCCACCTCCCAGGTTCAAGCAATTCTCCTGCTTCAGCCTCCCGAGTAGCTGGGATTACAGGGGC